TTATTATATATAATTTTATACAATTTTATATAATTTTATGTAATTTTATATAAAACATTCTTTCCCGGGATAATGTCTACAAAACCTCGATGTTTCTGCGCTAAAAAAGCGCTTTTGAATCGCTTTGAAGTGCAAGCGCTTTTAAAGCGCTTTTCACGAGCATTTTTTGATCAATGTGACTTGAAATCTGCCGAGTTATTTATGTGCTATGAAACCGCATAACTGACAGCAGTTTTGGGTGGTGCGATCTGAAGAGCGCTCCGACAGCGCTTTCCATGCACTGCTGTGCTACGTGGGAAGTATACCAATTACATTGGAGACGGCGACTCCAAGACTTACTCGGCTATTATCAATGCGGCCCCATACGGTAATTCGATAAATATTAATAAAAAGGAGTGTGCAGGACACGTTCAGAAGCGTATAGGCAGCCGATTCCGAGCATTAACTGTTGAGAATATGATATGAATTGTATTATCGATTAATTGCAATAAACTAATCGATAGGGTTGGCACTTATTCCTGTAGTTATTCATCTGTTTAAAAGATTTGAACATCGCTGTTGTTCGCCCCTTTTCTTTCTGGATCTTGGTACCAAGCGGTTGCGTTTTATTGCAAGGCCTTGCAACGGCGATATTAATTAGTTCTCTTGTGTCAGATAAGTTTTAATAATAAGCAAACTGTTGTTGTACGAAGCATAAGTAATCTTTTATGTTAAATTGATTAATCTTAAGATTACTTTAAATTGTAGAATTTTGTTCATCTCTTGCTATCTCGTTTATCATTTAATATAAGAGTTCTGTTTTAATTAAATATACTTGGTTCTTAATGAGAATTGTATATTCATTTATTAAGAATCTTTCAACATTAACAAATAAAGGTCTCGGAGGTCAAAACAAATTAACTGGAAAAATTATCGATAATCTCAGCATTTATTATGGTTTAGCCATTCGCAGAAATTGTGATTCAAAGGACAAAATGAAGACGGCGATCAGGGCAACGTTCTACCATTATAGCTCTACAGATGAAAAACCACACCATGAAAATTGCCCAGAAGCCTCGGACTCATGGTGTAGCTGGCAACGAGCAAAAGTCGATGGTACCCTTGACGCCTATAAGCACGATTATATGTCATTGCTTCACGATGTCTTGGAAGCTATTCGACCAATTTACGACGACTTGAATAAGGACACTTTGTTAGAACGCTGCGTTGATGGCTTTACTCAAAATAATAATGAAAGCTTCAATAACATTATTTGGAGAATTGCACCGAAAATTTTAAATAACGATGCTCTTATCGTGATAATAGCGGCGTATATTGCCGCATGTGTCTTCAATGAAGGCACATCGGCATTACTGACAATAATGAACGCAATGAAAATTCCTGCGGCACCGTATGCCCATCAATACGCGGCATTTGAGGACAACCGTCGGATCTGCCTGACCGAGCTTCGAACGCAGGAGGCAACAAAAGAGGCAAGAATATTGCGTCGGCAAGCTAGGATCGAAGCTTTTGATACGGCTACGTCTGGGGAGGATTCACTATATGGCCCTGGAGTGGATGACTTCATATAAGTTTGAAAAAAAAAATTTATCTACGTTTTATCGGAATGTCAAACATTAAACGCGTTTTTCTCGAAACCATGTTTTCAAAACGCGTACCAGAAATATCTTGGAAACGACTGGACCGATTTACTTGAAATTTGGAAGGCTTAATTTACAGAACAAAAGGCAGTCTTTATCGTGGCGGATTTTTTTTAGAGCTCCAATTTTTTTTTGCAACTAAAAAACCAACTAATTTTTACCCTTAAAAATTAATATTTTTAATTAAACGGCTGTCATTTTGTCAAAAATCAATACTTTAAAAATCGGCCACAATAAAGACTAGTTAATTTCTTACACTTTAAGAAAATTCTAGTCTGGTTTGTTTCAGATAAGTCCTGTACGAGTTGTATCTGGTACCGTGGAGCACCTTTTTTCAACATGGTCTTGCGCCGAGGACAATATCTCCGCCATTTTTAAATATTTTTATTTCAAAAATTTATTCTGAAACATGTTTTAACAATGTACTTTAAAGTACATTAAAAGAAAACTAGGATTAATTACATACATTACGTTTCTCAAAAAAAAAAATCGAGAAAAAGGCTTATTTTTTACGTCCCTAGGTGTATGTAGCTCTTTAAGAATATATTTACTATAGGTATAATTATATTTGTATAAGAAAATATTTATATACATGCTGCCATGTATTAATGCGTACGCTCTATATAGGGTATTCTTCAACAATTAATTAATATTTCAGGGAGTGAACAAGGATGAAATTTTGAAAGTTAAAGTTGAATCTTAAAGTTTCTTTTCTAATTTTGGCTCAGACTTCATTTATTGATTTATTATTTGATTGATTGATTGATTGATTGATTTGTTAATATTAAAAATTAGAATAATTGTCAATTAATTAGAATAAGTTTCAATCGAGATAATGTTAGCAAGCGCGAGAAATCCCATGGCATACCCATGGTATGCTCCTGCATATTCAGTCTGCGTATAACCTGATTGCTTTAACCATTAATAACTCGGTAAGTAATGGTCTGAGCCAAAATTAGCAACGGAACTTTTAGTTCAAAATTTCATCCTCTTTCACTTCCTGAAATCTTAATTAATTGTTATGGAACATCTTGTATACATATCGATTAATGCGAAGATTACCCAATCCTCAGTAGTTAAAAGATTAAGCATACCCGACCAGAGATCGAGAAATCTGGGTTGAACCCTGGCTAAGATAATATTTGTCGCAATAAATTTTTTACACTTTATACATAAGATGCTAGTAGTAAATTGACGATCGAAAATTAATTTGTGAGATTATCATTATTTCAAACGTTACGAAATAAAATATATGTTATGTAAAATATGTAAAAGAAATATTTAACCCAACATCTAACTTTAATCGCTTATAAGAGTTTCGTGTACTCAAATGAGAAAATATATGTATATATAGGAAAATGTATATTTTGTATTGCATCATCGCATTATCCTGTCTATTTTATTTTATCTGCGTGTAATTCTATTTTATTTGCATGAACATTTCCAAAAACGTGCTAATTTATTATAGAACAATATTATCGCTGATAATTGTATTAAAATATTTATTATATAATTTCTTTAAAATGTTCATTCCTGTATAACTGATTATGTTATATGATTATTAACAATCAAGAATTGTAAAATATCGATCCTTTTGTATATTCCATTTTTGTACACTTTTTTATTAACACTTACTGTAGAGATTATTGTGGACTAATTTAATACCACTATTTTAGAAGAAACATATATTTTACATAAACTTTCCATAACATGATATAATATTATTGAATTGTATCGATCATGAATGCGAAAAAACTTTATAAATACATGCGTGTGTGTATATACTGTATGTTATAAGAAAAATTGAAATGCTGAAAAAATAGACGAATAATAAATTATTTGTAAACTATGTATGACTTCGAAACGCATGTTATAATCGGATAGCAATAAAGTACAGATGGTGATTTTTATGGAAAAATATCAACGATTTATTAATAAGATAAAGCGATTATGAGTCGCGTAGTACAAATGAATACCAAGCCGAGGCCAGCTTCTGGATTACAGATTGTGTTTAAGTTTTATATATACAAGGTGTCCGGAAAATCGAGGTCAATATTTCGGGAAGTGATTGGGGAACCAAAAAAGAGAAAAAAAGCTATATAAACATAGGTCCGGAAATAAGTCGTTTCTGAGTTATAACCACTTTTATATTAAAAAATTAAAATTTATTTTTCATAATTACAATCGATTTTACTGACGTCCTGTATATATGTATGTAGTGTATATACAGGGTGGGCCAAAAGTTTGGATACACTCAAATATCTCATAAACGATACATTTTAGAAAAAAAAATTTCTGACAAAAGTTGTAAGGCTTTAAAAGATGCATTCAACGATAGTAGTTATTTGACTTAGGATGGCGTTGTCAAAGTCAGGTCAACATTTTTTTTTTTTGTTTTACGTGGGAGGAGAAAATCTTCGGAAGCCCCTTCCCGAGGGGGACCCTTTCGGGACACCCATCGGGAAGGGGAAGACCCCCGACGGCCCGTACCGTCGGGAGTGCCGGATTCAGCCACCTCGTGATCCCAGGAGTACAAGGTACCCCGGGGACGCACCGAGGCGGCCGCCTACCGACTAAAAACTCCCCCCTTATTGTACTACCGCCACGACTTAGAAGGTAGCCCGGAACCACAGTCTAGTATCACGTCAGGCTACCCCCATGTCTCGAGAGCCGTATGGCTCACCACCGCTTTTCGGGTTATCCCTCTCGTATGCTAACTAGCCTAATTAATTACCGCTGTTCAATATATACATCCCTAATTACTTATTGCTAAGTCTAATTATTACCGCTGTCTATATACAAGTCTTATTTCTAACAAAAGATCTATATACAATTATGTACAGAATTAGGATCCTTAACGCCTCTCACTCCTCATCGGAGTTATCATCTAAAGGGGGAGGAAGGGGGGGACCGGGAGAACCGGTACTCCCGCGGGTCGATCAAGTCGTTCCCGCTCACGCTCCCTCTCATCCTCCTCCTTTCTCCGCATAATCACTTCGCATAGGCCTGCGAATGTGTTCCACGCTTCCGGGGAACGCACACTAGCCCTCACCACCGCTCTAAGGGTCCTGTCTATCCCTATGATTTCCAGCAGGGCACCCCTCTGTTCCGCCCAAGCCGGACAGAACAAGAGGGTGTGCCCCGCCGTGTCGTTCGCCGCCCGACAGAACAGGCACACCGGGGTGTCCCTTCGTCCTATCCTGTAGAGATAGGACTCGAACACCCCGTGCCCCGTCATCATCTGTGTCACGTGATAGGTGAGGGCGCCGTGTGCCCTCCCCGTCCACGCCTCCAAGTCATCGCCTATGGCCTCTCTTATGATAGCGCCCGGTCCGCCAGGGGGCAATTCCTCTAATCGCCTGCCCCATCTCGAGATCGCCCTTCGACGCTCGAATTCAAGTAGGGCCGCGCTTGCCCCAGGGGCCACCGCACCATCCCTAGCGATAATATCCCGCCTACGGAGATAAGACCTCCGCAGACGGTCCGCGGCAAGATCGAACGGTACCATCCCCGAAAAGATGGCCGCAGCGACACCAGAGATGGTACGGTACCCCCTGATAACCCTTAAAGCGAGTTGCCTCTGCAACTTCTGCACCTCCCTGACGATAGTGCGGTCCGCGGCCGCCGTCTGCGCCCATATCGGAGCGCCATACATAATGACCGACATGACTACCGACGCGTACGCTCGGCGTCTGCGCTCTCCCGGTCCGCCAACATTGGCCGTGATTCTCGCTAATGAGGCCGCCATGCCCCACGCCTTGGGCATAAGCACCCGGAAGTGATCCCGAAAGGTCCACCGCGAGTCCAGGGTCAGCCCCAGATATCTCACGGCGGAGCCAATCGGGACCACCTCCCCACCAATACGAATGGCAGCACCCGCCGGGACAGCGTCCGCGGCAAAGGCAACGGCCTCGGTTTTCGAAACCGATACTCTCAACCCGAGCCGCTCGATCGCCCGCACAACTACCGTGACCCCGATCTCCGCTGTCCGCGGCAAAGGCAACGGCCTCGGTTTTCGAAACCGATACTCTCAACCCGAGCCGCTCGATCACCCGCACAACTACCGTGACCCCGATCTCCTAATTCGCGCGCCCTCAAAGCCATCCGCGGTGGCTATGACTAGGGTATCGTCCGCATAGCACAAAGTCGTGCACCCTATCGGCAAATGTAGTCTGAGGATTTCATCGTATCCCACGTTCCATAGAGTCGGCCCAAGGACCGAACCCTGTGGAACCCCGCACGTCATCGGCTTACGAACTAAGATATCTCCACGATTGACATATGCAAGACCACGTTCCGACAGATAATTATCAATGATGCCCCGGAGGTACCCGGGGACACCCTTTTCCTCCATCGCGCGCTTTATCACGGACCACGGGAGGGAGTTGAATGCGTTCGCTATATCCAACGATACAGCGACCACGACTCCTCCCCCCCGCGTGCCCTCCCTGACTTGCTCTCGAAGGGCCCAGACGGCGTCCACCGTGGAGCGGTGCCGCCTGAAACCATATTGCCCTTCCGCAATACCCCTATTCTCCTCTAGATATAAGTGGAGCCTACCTACTATGACCCTTTCCAGTAGCTTGCCTGCCTCACTCAACAGGCATATCGGCCTGTACGATGACGGAGCCAGGTCAGGCTTCCCGGGTTTGTTAATCAATACTAACCTGGCTTCTTTCCATTGTCTCGGAAAACACCCCCCTCTGAGACACTCAGTGAAGCATCTGGCCCACGAGGGAACCAATGCCTCATAGTACTCTTGATAACGCTTCCCGCCACGCCATCAGGACCCGGAGCCTTACCGGTCTTGACCCCTACACCGGCCTCCAAAACCTCGACCGGCGTTACCGCGTACTAGTCATCCCAGTCGTGTGCCGGCACTTCCCCCCGCGGGGACCAATCCGCAGGGAAAAGTGTCGACACTATTTCCTCAACCGTCCCAGAGGGGAGTACCTCCACAACGGACGCCTTGCCCGCGCGCAATTTTCGTAACACTACTCTATATGGTGTACCCCATGGGTCTCTCTCGAGGTCATCCACCATATCCCTCCAAAGTTTAGCTTTGGAGCGGATGATTGCCCTCCTGAGATCCCTCCTACTGTCGCGCAACTCATCCCAGAGCAGCCGCATGCCCTCGGGGGGTAAATTACCGCGCCTACGTGCCCGCGTCACCCTTCTCCTGCGCATGTTGCATGTCTTACGCAGCTCTACCACCTCCTCATTCCACCAGTAGGTGCCCGGCCTCTTAGGTAGACCCCTTCTCGGCATGGATGCATCTGAGATGTCCAGTAGCATCCTATCCATCAGTTTGGCTCCCCTGGAAGCGTCAGGTGGTATACCGTTCCAGGTCGACCAAATCGCCGCAGCCTCCATCAAGTCTGGATCCGCCTTGCTCACCACCCACCGTGGGAAGGCTCGGAGGGCCGCTCTCCCAGTTTCCGGGCCGGTGATGCAAGTCCCCAGGTCCGTGATCACATATCAGTGGTCTGATAGTGATTCCACCTCTGTGATTACCCTCCATGATGCGATCCTTCTGGCTGCAGAGGGCGACGCCATCGTAAGATCCACCCGGGAGGTTCCACGCGGGTGGACACAGGTCGGGATGTGTCCCTCATTAAGTAACTGGAGGTCTAAGGTACTCATCCAGTCAAGAAGGAAATCACCTCTCCGATTCCTTCTGCCTCTGTCCCACGCAAAGGCGCGGGCGTTGAAATCGCCCGCAATGATAATGGGGCGACCAGCCACCGTCCTCAGTTTGACCTCAAGTTCCTGGAGGCTCCTTTGAAAGTCGTCATCGTTCAGGCTGGGGGGGAGGTAGCAGGACACAACTATCGTCTCCCCCCATTCCACTGCTGCGAACCTGGAACCTCTCCAAAGCGGGGAGCACGGTATCCTAACCTGAGCCCACTGCCATGTGACCGCCGCCGAAGGAGGGTCGTCCATAGAGGACAACCACCTCCCATCATCCGGAACTCGGTTGGGCTCCGATATAGCGACGAGCCCAATACCTAGCTCCTCACTCACCCTGGAGACCATGTCCTGTGATGGTCTAGATCTGTTGACATTTATTTGCGCCAACCTAGCCATCACAGGTCTCCATTACGTCTTCTCGTGTCCCCTCTGCAGGGGCCGGGGCTCCCCGATCAGCTCCGGTGTTTAGCTCCACTGTCGCATCGGAACGCGCCTCCTCTTGGTCCGACATCCGTCCCCTTCCATTGAACGGGACGCACTCCGCCGAGCCTGCCCTGTGTCCAGATGGCATTCCCCTGCTAGCGCAGACTGGGCATTTAGGGGGTCTCCGGCATATGTTGGCTTTATGCCCATCATCTCCTCCACACTGAAAACACCAGTTGGATCTATACGTGAGGCTCAAGCAACTAGCCCTGGTGTGTCCCACCGCGAGGCACCGGAAACATTGTAGCCTCCGTTTCGCCAGGGGAACGACTCCCGCCAAGGTCCAGCCTACCCTTAAGCGTCCTTCGCCAAGGATCTTGTTAGCACAAGACAACGGACATTGCACCCATACGGCGTATAATCCTCCTCTTCCAAGTCTGGGAGGGCCAACCCTTATGTCGGCCTTCAGGGCTTGGCCGTTGGTCGCTACGGCCTCCGCCACCTCTTCGGCTGT